TTTTTATTATCTCAGGCAGTCTATATATGGTAAACCAACCAAGAAACTTACTCCATGAAGTGAAAAAAATGAAATCATCATCGTCTATTGCTTGGTGTTAATAAATAAATTACCAGTTACATAGCTTTTGAGGGGGCAGAATGGTTGTGTTGAGCCAGACTCTCAGGCTGCCTTTTAGTTTCAGCTATAGGAAGACTGCTCTTGATTAATACAGTTCTATAAATACTTTGATCCACAGTAAACGTAAAGATTTTCTTTACATGTAAACTTATTTTTCTCTAAATTTGTTTTGCTAGCCAGTAATTTTATATGTTATCAGGAGGGACTAGTACCTGGAGAAGGGCATCAGGCCTTTAAAGTAGGGTCAGTGAAAAAAGGAAGACTTTCAATGAGCTGGATTAACAATGGGCTTAAACATGCCCCCAGTGGTGAGGAGGACACAGGATTGGGCAGTGTTTCTTTCTGTTGTACATAGGGTTACCATGAGTCAGAACAGACTTGATGGCTGCTAACAATTTTACCATTTCAGTTATTATATAAATACAAGTGGTCAATGTTGTTGTTGTTAAGTGCCGTCGAGTCGGTTCCGACCCATAGCGACCCTGTACAGGGTTTCTGAGGGTGTAAATCTTTACGGGAGTAGAAAGCCTCATCTTTCTCCCGCGGAGCGGCTGGTAGTTTCGAACCGCTGACCTTAAGGTTCGCAGCCCAATTCGTAACCACTACGCTACCAGAGCTCCTTTACACCATACATATTTCAGTAGAGACATTTATTTGTTCTTGAATTTATCATATTATAGTTATTGGTCCTGATGTGGCACTATAGGATAAGCACTATACTGCTAACCACAAGGTCAACAGTTCAGACCCACTTTTTGTTCCTTAGAAGTTATAAGGTCACTATGGGTCAGAACCGACTTGGCAGCACTTATCAACTACATTGTGATAAATATCAGTTAAGACCCAGAGTTCTATTTCATCTATCATCTGATTTTTTTCTTGACTAATTTCTATCATGCTACCCAGCTGCTTCTCGGGAACCGTATACAGGGTCGCTATGGGTCGAAATCGACTTGACAGCACTTAACAACAACAACCACCTTTTTAATGACTGGATTCGTAGTCTTTATTTTCTGTGAGAAGTCGATATGATTTATAACCTTTTACTCATATTTTGTCATAGTTATAATACACTGGAAATTTTCACACAACATTGCCATTTGTAACTAGAGGCTTGAGAAAGATAAAAACTTTGAACAAGCTTCTAAGTTTTCAAAATTTGATCACATCTACTGACAGCCCGTTGATTCCAGTTAGCAAAAAGTCAATCAGTTCGCTTGAAGGGAGGTTTATAAGGATGTTTATTTGTAGTGTTACCATCTTCAGATCCGTGTTGCATGTTAAGTTTTGTAAAAAAAAAAAAAAAAAGATAAATTCCTTTGTGTTGGTTTACCTCATGGCATATGGTAACCAAGGTTTATTTGAGAGCTCAAGGTAAATTCCTAGGAAACTGTATAAGCCTTTAGATTGCTTCTTACTTGAGAAGACATTTTTCTAGCTATTATCAAGAACAACTTTTTTTTAAATGGCATTTTTGATCTTGTTTTTTTATGGTATATAAAGATAATTTATAAACATAATACAAAAACTCATTGTGTTTTTTTAGACTTTTGATATTATTTGATACCTTGCAAACTTTATTAAATCAAGATTAAAGGCCTACATGACAAATTTCTTTCATTGTTCCCATTAGCAGCTTTGAATAAAATAATGCTGTGATGGAACTGTATGTATACTATAATTTATTGTAAAGACCGTGGGAATGTGTACATAAGCGTTTCTGTTTCCTTTTATTACTATATTTTGTTTGTGATAAAATTTTCACTGTGTAATATTTATTGTTCTAAATCACAACCCAAGTCCTATATTAATGTATACATTGTTACATGATCCTTAAGTCACATTATTTATAACACTCAGATTTGGATCCTAAGATACGTGTGGCAGAGAATTTATGCTTAGAATTGTCACTGATTTAGACATTCCATTTAAAAGAAGTAAATCATGGTTTTCTATATTTTTTATAGTATTCTGTATGAGTTTCACTGGATTTTATTAATCTTTGAAGTATCACGTAGACATGTTCTCTCAGATTAGTGAAAAATATGTGACCTTAAATATATATATATATAAAATACTCTCTCAAAATGTATTACATCACAATTTTTTTATTTTTTATAATATCCAGGAAATATGAAAACGTGTGTGTAGTATATCTATGACTTAAAGTTTAAAAAAAAAA